TTCAGTTAGCCATCTCAGGCTGGAAACCTCTGCTCCAGATGTCTTTTTTTTTTTAATTTTTTTTTTTTAACATTTATTTATTTTGGAGACAGGGAGAGACAGAGCATGAACGGGGGAGGGGCAGAGAGAGAGGGAGACACAGAATCGGAAGCAGGCTCCAGGCTCTGAGCCATCAGCCCAGAGCCCGACGCGGGGCTCGAACTCACGGACTGCGAGATCATGACCTGACCCGAAGTCGGCCGCTCAACCGACTGAGCCACCCAGGCGCCCCAGCCAGATGTCTTAAACATTCCCAAAATATTTAATGATTATGTAGTCGAATCTAATAATATCTGTAATGAGGATTTCTTTCTTTGCTTTATGCTCATTTTCCACTTCTTTCCAGTGATCATTTAAAGTGCAACACTTTTATTGGATGTATTAAAAAAAATTAACACTAGTCTGATTTATCAATTTATAATATGGGAACGATTGACTTTTCTCAAATACCACCTTTCATTAAAGTAGTAGAGTATTTCTAAATATTTAGTATTATTTCCATGTGTATGCCTTTGGAGAAAGGCTTGCCATACTTAGGATAGCAAACAAATATCCTTTTTAGTTAATTTCAAGGCATTTTATGTACTTTATTATTATAAATGAGATTTTTTATCACATATTATTTAAAAGCAATGATTATTATTTTTATTAAGAGAAGAGTAACACCTACATGTCCATTGTAGAAAATGTTAAATTAGGGGCGCCTGGGTGGCTCAGTCGGTTGAGCATCCGACTTCGGCTCAGGTCATGATCTCGCGGTCCTTGAGTTCAAGCCCCGCATCGGGCTCTGGGCTGATGGCTCAGAGCCTGGAGCCTGCTTCCGATTCTGTGTCTCCCTCTCTCTCTGCCCCTCCCCCGTTCATGCTCTGTCTCTCTCTGTCTCAAAAATAAATAAATGTTAAAAAAAAATTTAAAAAAAAAATGTTAAATTAAAATCCTTTGTTATTTACACTATTATATGCATATTATAAGTAATATACATTTCACTTAGTAATATGCATTTAAGTTTCTTTCCTTTTAATGGCTTGTAGTCCATATTCTTTTTAGCATTGAGTAACATTCCATTCTACTTTATTTATCCATTTACCTACTAGAAGACATCTTGGTTCCTTCCAAGTTTTGGCAATTATGAATCAGGCTGCCATACACATCCATGTGCAGGCTTTTGTGTGCACATAAGCTTTTAGCTCCTTTGGATGAATACCAAGTAGCACAAATGCTGGATCATATGGTAAATGTATATTTAGTTTTGTAAGCGGCCACCAGCCTGTCTCCCAAAGTGGCTGTACCATTTTACATTCCCACCAGCAACAAATGAGGGTTCCTGTTGCCCTGTATTCTCTTCAGCATTTAGCGTTGTCACTGTTCTGGATTTTGGCCATTCTGACAGGTGTGTAGTAGTATCTCATTGTGCTTTTAATTTGCATTTGCTTGATGTATGGTATGGAGTGTCTTCTCATGTGCTCATTTGCCATCTGTAGATTTTCTTTGTGAGTTGTCTATTAAGGTGTTTGGCCCTTTTTGAAATCAGGTTGGTTGCTTTCTTCTTGTTGAATTTTAAGAGTTCTTTGTGTATTTTGGAGAACAGTCCTTTATCAGCTGTGTCTTTTGCAATTATTTCCTCCCAGTCTGTGGCTTATCTTCTTATTCTCTTGGCATTATCTTTCTCAGAGCAGAAGTTTTTACTATTAGTGAACTCCAGCTTATCAGTAGACACATCCTGATAAGTCTGGACTGGCAATAGCCTCACCATTTGTTGGTAGTCGTGTTGCTCATTCTGTTTCCCGCCACAACAATGTTTATCAGAGTAAAATGCTGTTGTAGTACTTCATAATTAATTTTATATTTGAACAATTTTATATCTGTAGAAATGATGCTTCTTTGTTGGTCATTAATTTTTTTTTCACAAAGCATCAGTAGACATTGTTTTTAGAAGATATTTTTTCCCACAAATATTGGTATGTTTACATAACTACTTTTAAAATCTATATGTACAGAATGTATGCACTTTTTCTAACCTTATATTAGTACTGTAGCCACTGGTACTAAATTAATTAAGCCACATGTTAAAATTTAAAATTCAGTTCCTCGATCACACTAACTACACTTCAGCTGCTCAATATTGGATAGTCGTGATAGAGAACATTTTCATCTTCACAGAAAACTCTTTTGAACAATGCTATTCTTGAACATAAGCACTTGTGCGTTAAAAAAGCAACCATTTTCCTCAGTCGATTGGGCATCCGACTTGAGCTGAGGTCATGGTCTCCTGATTCCTGAGTTCGAGCCTGGTGTCGGGCTATGTACTAACAGCTGACAACCTGGAGCCTGCTTCCGATTCTGTGTCTCCCTCTCTTTCTGCCCCTTCCTCGCTTGCTATCTTTCCCTCTCTCTCTCTCTGTCTCAAAACTGAATTAACATTAAAAAAAAATCACAGAAAATTATGTCATTTTACTTTGTAGTAATTTCTGAAATAAAATATTAAAATAAAAAAGTAAGATAAGTAAAAAGCTCAGGGAAAGGATTTGTTTCCCTACTATTATTTTTTGTGTTTTGTTTTGTGTCTTATGTGTCTATGATAGATAAAGCAGTGGTTTTAACTGTAGCTGAATGAACTGTGTGTTCACTGCTCAGCTAGATGCAAAACACAGTAGACAAAGCCGTTCCTACCATTAGTCCATCAGTTGGTATGTCTTCTTGAACATGCAAACCATGACAGGTAGTATTAATCACAGCAGTGGACACTAGCTGCTGAAATAACTGCTTTTGCATAAATCTCATCCCTCGAATTGAGAACGTGTCCACTGAAAATCCTTAATTTTTAATTCCTTGGAATTGGGAGCCTGCACCAGAGAGATACATTAGAGAGATGGTACAGAGGAATGAAGGACTGGAAAGTTTCCTCCAGAATTGGCTATTTAATTTTTTTTCTTCATTGACCTTGTAATTATAGAATAAACTTACTCCATTGCTATAGAAATAGTGTTTTCTCTAAATTTGTTTTTTTAAAGCCCTCATTAATTCAAGCAATAGTTAACACAGGCTCTTCTATGCTTATAATGGGCATTACTTCAATTTACTCTTAATGGTACAGTATCAACTCATCTAGAAATAGTTTGAAAATTTCCTTGGAGGGAGAGAAGAGGCACCTGGAATTATAACGTATTTTGTAGTTTAGTCCTTTTTTTAATTAAAAAAATTAGTTTTTATTTTTTCTTGAGAGGGAAAGAGAGATTGAGTGAGCGGGGGGGGGCAGAGAGAGAGGGAGACACAGAATCCGAAGCAGGCTCCAGGCTCTGAGCTGTCAGCACAGAGCCCGATGCGGGGCTCGAACCCATGAACTGTGAGATCATGATCTGAGCTGAAATCGGACGCTCAACCAACCAGGCCACCCAGGCGCCCCTATAGTTTAAATCTTGATATGAGAAGAATCTATCATTTGCCCGCTATTGATTTCTTTTTTGTTTTTTGCAGCGTGTTTGAATGTTGAGAAGGTATAGTTGCTAAAACTTCATTTAGATGGTGGGAATTTGTACAAGTAGGGTAGTTAATATATGATAATGAATGAAAATGGTTATTGATTTGGTGATGTGCATATAAATCTATTCTAAGTTGTTCCTTGAAGTAAAAATATCCAGTTTGTACGGGTAATTATTATTTAGATGGGTTTTGTTTGTTTGTGTGTTTGTTTGTTTTCAGTTTGGAGGCTAATTTAGAGTCTAAGTAAAAATTATATTGGGTCGGGTAGGAGGAGTTTGCACACTATATAGACCCCACAGGTAGAACACTTATTTCTAAAAACGGATTGAGGACAACTCTAACTATTGTACATAATCCACTAACATGAAAAGGTAGAAGTGATAGGTATCACCTGTACAACCATGATCTAACTTGCCATTTGCACCTCACTTACAAGTACAACACAGGAAGTGTGGTCTGGCACACACTTGTTAATCAATCATTTCTATAAACATTTACATAGATCTGGTTAACTCCCTTGAACTTTTCTATTAAAAGTTTTTTCTTTTAATGTCCGGAAACGAATTAGCAAATTGCTATAAATTACATAGAGACTGCCAGGATACATAAGTGTATTTAGATAGAGGGGAAATTCACATAAAAGGTAATCTTTCCTGTAGAAAAATGTCCTTTATATAGAACTGTTACTTGAAAGGATTATTTTTTAAAACAATCTTTCTTTGGTATGCTTTGGTCATAATTGGGAACGTAACTGCTGTGATAAAATGATTTAAAGAGACACATACATGCTGATGCACCCAGAAATCAAAAATCTTGGCCCTTTTTCCTGGGATTAACATTAATGTTCAATTAAAAGATAAACAGTGTTGGGGCACCTGGGTAGTTCAGTTGGTTAAGCGCCAGCTTCAGCGCAGGTCATGATCTCGCCATTTGTGGGTTCGAGCCCTGGTTGGGCTCTGTGCTGACAGCTCAAACAGAGCCTGGAGCCTGCATTGGATTCTGTGTCTCCATCTCTCTCTCTCCCCGTCCCCCACTCCTGCTCTGTCTCTCTCTCAAAAAATAAATAAACATCAAAAAAAATTTAAAGGAAGATAAACAATGTTTCATAGATATCTCATTGTGATTATTCGAAGAAGAGAGATCTTTCATTCAATCTTATAGAAGTTTTATTTCAGATTTCTGAAATCTAGTTCTCAGAAAGTATCTAGTTCTCTCTTACTGATGGAGTTATGTGCTCTGCAACAGATATATTTTAAATGTATTTCAGTTTCTGTCAGCTTTGCTGTCAGTTCTGTACTTTAAAAAATTATCTTTTAAAAATAGAGAGGTAATTAGAACAAATATCAGGATACTTTTCAACAGTGATCCTTAGACAAAATATTGGATCATCAAATACTTTGAAAGAAGTCTTTGTGATTGTTTGTTTTGAATGGTAAGGACTATACTTTGTTTTAAGTCTTTTTCTGGTTGTCATTTCAGCGATGAAGTCTTACACTCCGTATTTCGTGCTCCTGTGGAGTGCGGTTGGGATAGCGAAGGCTGCCAAAATCATCATCGTGCCGCCAATTATGTTTGAAAGCCATATGTACATTTTCAAGACACTAGCCTCAGCCTTGCACGAGAGAGGCCACCGTACAGTGTTTCTTCTCTCTGAAGGCAGAGACATCGCGCCATCTAATCATTACAGCCTCCAGCGCTACCCAGGGATTTTTAACAGTACCACCTCGGATGCTTTCCTGCAGTCCAAAATGCGGAATATTTTCTCTGGGAGATTGACAGCAATCGAACTGTTTGACATACTGGATCACTATACTAAGAACTGTGATATGGTGGTTGGCAACCATGCCCTGATTCAGGGTCTAAAAAAGGAAAAGTTTGACCTGCTGCTGGTGGACCCTAATGACATGTGTGGATTTGTGATAGCGCATCTTTTAGGGGTTAAATATGCTGTATTTTCAACTGGCCTCTGGTATCCTGCTGAAGTGGGTGCTCCTGCCCCATTAGCTTACGTCCCGGAGTTTAACTCACTCCTCACAGACCACATGAACTTGCTGCAAAGGATGAAAAATACCGGCGTTTACCTCATTTCCAGATTAGGGGTCAGCTTTCTGGTTCTTCCCAAGTATGAAAGGATAATGCAGAAGTACAACCTGCTGCCGGAGAAGTCCATGTATGACTTGGTCCATGGGTCCAGTCTGTGGATGCTGTGTACAGATGTAGCACTGGAGTTCCCGAGACCCACTCTGCCTAATGTTGTGTATGTAGGAGGAATCCTAACCAAACCGGCCAGCCCACTACCAGAAGTAAGGTTTGCTGAACTCCTTGGTAATCGTTTCTAAATACAGAGGTCAATTTAATCGGTTTTGAGTTTCGGAAGAGATAGGATTGGTTATTGTTGGCTAACCGATGCTGCTCTAAAAAGTAGTTAAGACAATAGATCCCTACCAGGGTCCCTTCTTTTGTGGATGCCATTCCCCTGGAACACGTTCCTGCTTTGATGGAACATTTCTACACTGCTGAGGGGCCATTCTATATGGTCAATAGAGTGGCTGGGAAATCTATTTTTGATTAAGTAATAACGATAGTGTGTGAGGAGAATGTAGTTATTAGTTAGCTTTAATGAACGTGAGGTTTTTTTGCTTTTAATTAAACAGAGTTCCCTCTGTTCTTTGCCAGAAGCACGATTACAGGTCTCCACATCTAGATTAGGTTCAGTGAACTCAAATAAATAAGAGACCATGTAAATAGAGGTTCTTCTTTCAGCAATCACAACCACAAGAAAGTCCAACAATGAAAACGAGGTAGTAACTTCCATCAAACTAGGGAGCCAACTAATTTTTAGTAAGCAACTATAACTCTTTTAAAGAAATCCTGTCCCGTTGCAATTTCATTTCAGAGATGGAACTGATTGAACTTGAACAAAGCCTGTCTCATATCTAAGTCAGACCTAAATTCTTTTTTCCTGGTTGAGCTGTCAGTAAATCCCTTGTGTTCTCTTCTCCACCACAGTGTGTTTTCTTAGGTATCTCAAACTTGCAGGAGCCATGCTCACATATCTGTTGTTGTAGGGTTTCCTAACCCCAGATTGGTTCTCTGTATTTAATCTCAGCATCTGATGTCATTTACCAGGAAGCAACGAGTTGTTCTAGGATTTTGTTCTCTACTGAAACTATTTCTACTCTTGAAAATCTGAAAAGAGCCACTCACAACAACTCTGCTAAATTACTCATTTCTAGCTCTCATCACTATGTATCAACAAAAATTTGTTAAGGACTTGATGAAGAGCAAAGCCAGACATTTTTATATATGCATCAGATAAGGACAATCACTGGGCAGCATTTTCTCATGGAGAAAGAATGTGATTGGAATATACAGCCAGCCTGTAGGCTTTTCTAATCCATTTATTAGAAGTATATTTAATAAATAACACCTTGATATATTTCGTGTAACATGAAAAAAATAGAACTTGCCAGATTTGTGGCCCATACCACCCTAGCATTTCAATCAGATGTCGCCAATGGAGGCTGTGAGGGCACAATTGTTCTCTCTGCATCCAATATAAAGGATAGGAATTAACCTCAGCTTTTCTCAGCCATTCACAAATTTATCCAAGCCCATTTCGAATCCTTAAGTATTCTCTGCCAGAGTCACTGTGTTATATATTAACTCCTCTTCCTAAAGGTAGCTAAAATCAGATTTAGAAGTAGCTTCTACAAGACTTGATAAGCAAGTCTGTTTTTACTCTGAGTCATTCATAATATTACACAGATGAGCCCTGTTCCCTCCCGGTGTTCATTTTCTTTTTTCTCAACCAGAGCACTTTCTGCCTGCTCCATTTGGTTTCTGTTTTGGTGCTGTCTCCCTTCGGACTGAAAAAGAAATGCATGATGAAAAGGAATGTTCTGATGAATCTTCAGTCCCTGTACATCTGTCTTGAGTTGCAGCAACTTGAGCTACATAAGCACAGAATAATATTTTATGTTTTGTTTTATATCCACTACCCTTCATTAAGATACATACATAGCATGTGAGAATGTTTCTTTTTTTCCTATAACCCAAGCTTATCTTTTCCCCCATGGGTCCCTCTGCCCGTTAGTTTCACTATTTTATTTTAAAGCATCTTTTGAGTGGGTTTGGAGCCTTATACGATTATTACTCCAAATGTTTTCTGATTTGCATAATTTCTAGGGTGATGCTGGTTTGACCTACTTTGTGGGCTTCCCTGTTCTTTTTTTCTCTTTGGGTGTTTTGTAATGATTCTTTTAAGGATGTGCTTTTTATTTGCAATAGACACTTTGGCTGTGCCAGTTATGGTATGTGCATGTGTTATGTAGATCTAGGTAAATGTATTATTCCCATTGAAAGTGTCTTACTTAGTTCGCAAGTGTGAAGGGCCGTTTTCAGTTCAGTATGCCACTTACGAAGTTTTTCACCAGGGAATATTTTGAAGAATGATGTGTCTTACACTTTCAGATATTTCTTACTCTGGCGAGGTTTTATATGCTTAGGAACACATGTGTTCCTACTGGGATTTCTCTAGTAGATTTCTCTGATATGATAAACTGCACCTCGGGGTTCTACAAGTTAATGAGTTTCTCAAATGCCTGTATTATTTTCAGGTCATGGTTGTGACACTAAAATAATAGGGCCCAGCAAGTGGCCGTTTAGAACACATGATTCACTAATAACAGCTTAATTGTTAACTGCCTTGGTATCTTACACTGGGGATGGATTAGGTGTTCCAGATGTCTGGAAATGATTTGACAGTGGGATTTCATTTCAAAACCTGGGATGAAAGGCTACAGAAAATTTCTAAAAGACACTTTTTAGAAGCTTTCATAATGTTTGAGCCTAGAGAAACTCTAGAGAGCATCTAGTTCAGTTCCATTAATTTGGTTTATTTTTCTCCCCTCAAAATACAGAGAATAGTCCATTCATTTGTCACATAGGAGATTCAGTGAATTTGAGTGTCCCATCCAAGGCCATACAGATGGTTTGTGGCACAGCCAAGTAAAATGTGGATTATTTTGCTGTGATTAGATATTTTGTCAAGATGCCTACATCTCTTGGTACTCATTTTACTCATTTACACATTTGTAGTGTATACAAAACTGTGCAGAGAAGAATATTTCTCCACTATTTGATATCTCAAAGATTGTGAGGACTTAATACGAGAGTCAAATTTTAAGTCATGCATACTCTTACTTATGCTTTAGAGATTTAATAGTAGCAATCAGCCCCGTCCAAATGCTTTTGATTACAAGGTGTTTCATTAGCATAGAGTGAAGCAGTTGAGTTCCTTGATAATACAGTTATTTAACAATGCACGTTAGCTATGTGCCTAACTTGCAGTATTATTTACTACCTGACTCCCTAGAGTGTGGGTCCTTAAAATGTGTCAATCAATGAAGGAGAAGAGGTCCAGATTGGATTATATCTTACTCTATCATTGCAGGGTGGTAGAAAACATGAATACAGATTTTTTTAAAAAAAGATTTGCCTTGGGCAGGAAAGGGGTGTGGAAATAGATCCCTACTTGATTAGGTCCTTTAAGTATTAAATGTGAATGAAATAATATCTAACAGAGAGTGATTAAAGCTTTTAGCAGTTTTATAAGTGGGAAATAATGGCACTAAGGAATCATACATTTACTTAGAGAGTCTGTTAATTTTTAATTTTTTTCAACATTTATTCATTTTTTGAGAGAGACAGAGCATGAGTGGGGGAGGGGCAGAGAGAGAGGGAGACACAGAAGCACAGGCTTCAGGCTCTGAACTGTCAGCACAGAGTCCAACACAGGGCTCGAACCCACGAACCATGAGATCATGACCTGAGCCGAAGTCAGATGCTTAACCCACTGAGCCACCTAGGTGCACCCTAGTTTTTAAGATTAACATATTTCAGGTGATAATTTTTAAATGATTTCTCATTGATGAAATGGTCTGACCCTGCCAGGCAGCTGATCTCTGCCACTGTTCTGCTTCTACAGTCCCAAACTGTTTTTGCACTTAATAGATTGTACTTTAAACATTGGTTTTTCACATGGCTTTCTTCGTAACTAGAGTGTGGATGCCTCAAAGGGGGTGGATCCTCTACTTAATTCATCTTTCTCCCCTGAGTACCCAGAAAATGGTAGGCATTCGGTGAATGTTTAAGATTAAATGAACTGCATCAAATAGAAATAGTTGCCAAAAGAAATAGGTTTCAGCTAGTCCAACAATGTTGTTAATAGTATAGGCATTATCTGTTTCTTTCTAATTTATGTCCACATACCATCCCAGCCATTAAGCAAGCAAACATTCCAAGCTAAGTTATTTTAATGAATTAGAATTGCTACATAATGTTATTGATATTGACAAAAGATCATTATACATTACTCAGTTGGTGAACTAAATGGCCTCTACTGTGTTCCAAATATGCACGGGAACAGGGTTAGTAGAGCGAATCAGCCCAGCTCTTGCTGTCTTGAAAGATGTTTTGGGGTGGGTAAGGTACTCATTTGGTATGCCTCAGAGGTGCTTTATTGACAGGCGAGAAGTATTAAGGGCATCTTCAATTCACCAGTTGTAGAAACATTTTTAATTTAGGGAAACATAGTTCTGGGGAGAGATACAGATAAGAGATAAGCAGAGATAAGAAAGAGCATGAGACCAAGGACAGGGTCGTGAAATACTCACTGCTTGTCATTTTGTTATTTGCCAGAACTCTCTCACAGAGAAACGTTTTGGGGAAAATGAGATATTGAACAACAGATTCATTAGATTAACCACTTGTGAGCAGATCAGGTTATAAGAAGAAGAATAAAACTGAGAAGCAAAACATTGGCTTTCCATTTTCAGTTTCCATTGATTCACCTGTAAGCCATTCCTTACTATTACATATAGTAATGGAAAGCTGACTTCCCGAATAATGAATGAAGTGTCTAGGCTGAGAAATGGGACCACAGTTGCTGGTGCTAACAAACTTGATCCAAGATTACAGCAGTTGTGGAAAACTCCGGCCATTTTAATACTGTGTTACATATAAATTATATTATCATGAAATATAAAGCTACAGATGGGATTATAACCATTGTACCACATTGATTAAAATGCCCACTTAGGGGTGCCTGGGTGGCTCCGTCGGTTAAGCATCCGACTTCAGCTCAGGTCATGATCTCACAGTCTGTGAGTTCAAGCCCTGCGTCAGGCTCTGAGCTGAGCGCTCAGAGCCTGGAGCCTGCTTCTGATTCTGTGTCTCCCTCTTTCTCTGTCCCTCCCCCACTCATGCTCTGTCTCTCTCCTTCTCTCAAAAATAAATAAAC